CCCCAAAACCCCAAAACCCCAAAACCCCAAAAGGAATCAATACCATTCAGATTAGGTAAGTAAAATTTATTAAAATTTAATTATATCAATTTTTTACATGATAAGCAGCATTCTTAAGTGCAAAATTAGTGGGTGTAAAATAATAACTAGCTCCTATTTTATATGACTTTAGCTTCTGAATCTATAGATCTTCATTCTTTAAATCTTAATTTTTTTACGTGCGATGGGTGAATGGCTACATTATGTCCTCACCATTTTTCATATCAAAGTCTGGCAGACTAATTCCTTAGCTCATTCTTTTCGGTGATTAGACACTAGCTTTAGGAGTTGTGATTCTACTAGTTTAGATAAAACCCTTAGGAATTGTAATAGGCTTTTGTTTGTACATTTTATGAGTATCTCTATTCACACTTTGAGGTTTGTACTTATACTTTATCTCAAGCTCTTTAACTGACTTACTTGTCATGATCTTCCAGAAGTTGTTCTTTTTATTCCTAATGTTAAGTCTATTCTCTATCAAATCCTTGGCTAAATGAGGAAATCTCAACTTCTTCTTAGTCTCTTCTGATAGTAAGTTATAGTTTGGCTTTAAAGGTTAAAGAATGTTATTAGTGTCTGGAACTTTAAAATACTTTTCCCTAAATAATGGTTAAGGTACCTTAACAATGCTATTAGGTTTTATTTGATCTGGAAAAGAAGTCCTGCATCTAATCATTTATGATTGCCCATCGTTAGATTTTTGACTATTGTGTTACTCATCAGTCTCCCCTATGGATTACTATCTAAGGTGCATGGCTTTAAGGTTACTTAGTTGGGAATTTAATTGGTTATTAAAGAATGCCTTTGGATCATAGCTATAATGTCTCTTTATTATGTATTAGGGAGGCTAATCTTTTTATTACTAATCTATTTAGAGATACTGTACATCAGAACTATTATTGCTATGAGCATTGGAAGTATTATTATTAATTTAAATTTCATTTTGAATTTATCTGCTTATAACATCATCTTAATGCTAGATTATATTTATTCTAATTTTGTTTGCTTGCTCTTTAGTAATTTTGCTTTATTATTGCGGTTGATGGGAAAATAAAGATTTTTTTTCTTCTTCTCTTAATTTCTTTACCATGTCATCTGATACCTAAGATATAAGTATGAAATAAATTGTTACAAGTGAAGATTTTTTAACATATATCTGGAGATTTTTCACACTGCCTGTTTTAGCTTTGGTTAATTTGGATTTAATCTTAGCCTGGATCCTAAACATTATAAGAATTTTGAAGAATAATATTACATAGTAGAGCTAATACTTTGTTCTGTAATCCTTTTTGGTTTGGGACTATTTTGTAAGTAATCGTAGCAATAGGGAAAATCACTTTCTAAGACTAATCCTGTACCTTTCTTTTGAAGTAATTTAGATCCAGAACATAAAGTACAAACACAGCTCTTCCTTCTCATTTTTCTTCGATAATTTAGAGACTCAAAATCATAATCTTCTTCTAGTTCATCCTCTTGATAATCAATCATTGATTATGTTTAGTCTCTCTCAAATCTAAATTACTCATGTTCCTAAAGCTTTCTAAAGGACTTGCTTGTTCTTAAATTCTCATGTCTATATTGAGGCATCTAATTGAATCTTTCATGACTTTCAAGTAAAGAAATTCGAGATTAAAGATTGTCTGCTTCTTGTCGCTGCTATTGAATATCCCATTGCTGCGGGCTCTGCTCCCTCTCTTACTTATGATTTGCTCTCTTTCTAAAATTTTCTTGGCTTTACTGGCCGAAACTGATCATATTATTAACTAGTTTTATCCAGTTAATTTTCTGCCCAGGTCTCTCATCTTCGAATATCATTCTTGGCATTCCTTCGAAGGTGAGTCCATCATGATTTACTTGTGACACTATATCATCTATCTTCAACTTACTGATATTAAAACCTGTAATGTGCTCAAATTTTCTTGACTGAAGAAGTACTCTTCTTTTCTCAGCTACAAGTGCCCTATTTTGCTAGATTTGTTATTAGGTATTTCTTGAATTGGTTTTATCAGAGACTCCAAAACTGACTTTCTAAACATCTTGACTATCTCTAGTCTTTATTGATAGCTTATTCATCGATCCACCATTCATCGATACCTGCTTTTATATCTTTACTTTCTTTCCTGAAGTTTGATCTTTTGGAATAAGAGATTAGGAACTGCGTTAAGGAACAAGCTTAGGATTAGAAAAGCTTGATTTTTTAGGTATTTAGTTGGCTAGCATTTTTTTTAAATTAGTTATCCAATCTTTCAAATTATAAATATTCTTGAAAATTATATAGCTTAAACTCTCCCTATTATCTCCTAAAATATTTCGAAATAATCTATTTCAATACTTAGACACTAGGGGTTTTGGGGTTTTGGGGTTTTGGGG